AGTATTTTAGTACAAGATAAAAGTTTAATATTCTTTTCTTGATGACAATAGGCGTGTTTCATGAGAAAACTAAAACAGTAAACGTCCTGACAGATTGAGTTCATTGATCTTATGCGGTATACAAAATGAAGGTGATTTACTATCCTCAAGGGCAGACACAGATTCGAACAAATTTTGTTCGTCCCATTATGATTATATGTGTACTCATACAATGCTTGAAGCAGATTGTGTTTTTACCTTTATTAGCCTTGGCAATACTACATCTAGAATACAATGAAACATGAATATTTGATCGTTCGAAATGTTCGATCAATATTTTGATTTATATGTATTAAAATCTGTTAAGAATTTTTTCATTTTTGTAAAAATTTAGAATGCCGGACTTGTAAGTATCATTATAAAGCACCGACTTCATTATACAAACGAATTTCTTACTAAGAACATTTTAAGAAAAAACTTAGCAAAAAATTTTCAATTAATGTCATTAGTAATGGAACAACCCATGAGTAGCAGAGAGAACCGAGATAAAATAAGAAACATAAATTGAATTGAATACATTTTACTCTTTCTTCTTGTATTTAACAAAAACTGACGTTTTGACAATGATGTTATCTTCATCAGAAAATAATATATATTTGAGAATATTGAAATTATATATGAATATATACATAATATGTATTAATTGGTCAAAAACAAAATACGACGACTTAAAGGTTCCGTGCCCCCTCTATTAAATGACGAGCGAAAATTCGATTGAATTCAAATTCATACTAGAGATAGAACATCGAAAACGAAAATTGAAGTATTTCTGCCCAAACTTTTCTGACATGTTCTTCTATGAGTTTTCTGAAAATCTCTGGTTATTTTCATTGAAGTACATTAGGATCCCTCGGAAACTTCGTCCGTTCAAGTTCAAAATATTATTACAAGTACTTGGGACGATCTTTCAGAATGATAGTTTTCCTTTTTCATTTTTGATTTTTTCTTTTCAAGTTACGGAATTGTAGTAAAATATGTAGTCTTTAAACATGTTTTGTCTCCATGAATCTATGGCGGCATATTAAATAAAAAATGTATTTGTCTTATTCCATAGTTATGAGAAATTGCATGTTTTTTGACTAGCTTTTTTTTATATGTTCGAATGATATTGGTCTCAGTAATGGTATACCGGTATTTTTAATATTTCATTTCAAATAAAGATCCCTGGAAGCATCGATGAAATGTAGGTTTTTTGTGTTCGGATTTCAACTAGAATTGAAACATATTCAATTCAATTTATTGTTGCTACTCAGCATAATTGGTCAATGTTCTTTCTCGTTGTAAAATTTGTTGTTGTGTTCTATATTTCACATTTTCTAACATCGATAATAGAATATCATCTTGTGTTTTAATTCTAATAAAATCTAACGACATTTTCTCAAATAATTCTGGATAAGAAATATCAACTATTGATGTCCATTGTTGTTTAATTTGTTGTAATTCTTGAATATTTGTATTTTTCCATGATATAAATTGTTCGTTGTATGATTTTATTTTCTCCTCTATATTTAATGCTATTTGATAATAATTTGTTAATGTTGTACTCAATTGTTTATGTATAATTTTAAATGTTCTTCGTTCTTCACATTCAAATAGTTGACTAATTGTATTTAGTGGAGCATCTATCTGATTTAAAAGCATAACTGATGATTGGTAACATGATTCTAATGCATGATTTTTGCTCAAATATATACGTAATAGATCTTTGGTGTCATGCAAGGATGAGAATGAAATATTTTGTCTTTTTTCACAACCATAACATATTAAATATTTACATAGTTCTTTTATTGACGTTGATTTTCGGTGTTCTAAAATTGATTGTTTCAATAGATCCCAATATAAATTTACATTTGTTTCAATTTTTAATATTTTTTGTTTATAAAATTCAATTAGTGTTTCAGTGCATAACATTAGTTCTTGAATACGCTGTTTACAATGGACAATATGTTTGTATGTTGAACGATAATGATCATTTAAATTTATAAATTTTGTAACAGGTGTTGTTGGAGAATATTGTTGTGGCTGTTGGAATTCGTTCAATATAGGGGTATATTCAATTTTATAAGAACGTAATGCTCGTCTATCATGTTTAATTAGATCGGGTAATGATAACGTTGATGATAAATCATTTTTTACAACATGATCAAATGATCGATCAAAATGTTTTTTAGAAAGAATCTAAAATAAAAAATAAAAACTATGCATGTTATAGTGAACACAGTTGTCAACATACTTTTTTTTCACCATTGATTATTGTAGTGCTTGATGGTTTTTTTAGAGTATTATCACTATCACTCGGTAGCATATCAAATTTAACTATATCTAAGAACATTAATGGATGGTTTGTGATTGGAGTATATATTTTTGGCGTTGGAGTATGAAAATCCGGTCTATGATGTATTTTATAACATTGTGGACATAGAACGCTGTAACATTGTATACAAGTATCTAACTGTTTAAATTCCTTTATTTGATGACATTGATCACAGCAGTGAATATTAATTAATCGTTTTAGTAAAGTATTTTCTTGTAAATAATCAACAGATTGCATTTTATGTGATTTGAAACATATCGTACAAACAATAGAAGATATATCGGTTTGATGAAGAGTACCTATCGAATAATTTGTAGATGTTTTTAATCGATTTTGAATACAATTCATACAAAATGTATGGTTACATGATAATTGTATCGGTTGACTGTATGTTTTATGACACATTTGACATTTAAATAAATTTAAATCAGATGTAGTTAATGTAAATATAGACCATAATACTTCTTCCGATAAATCAGGATTATCACCACAAAGCTAAAAATAGATGAAAATCAAACGTTATATACACTTCTAAACTAAATGAATTATCAAACGCAACAGAGAAAAATGAGTTATTAATGAAAATTACTGTGAATCTCAAACACCTCTTTTTAGTCAAATATTTATTCCTTTTTTTTCTTTACCTCAGCTTTATTTCGAAGAAATCCATTCTGCCCCTCTCAAATTGTTTGTAACATGCGTTATTATCAGGGTAAAAAGGTTTAGAGTAAACATATGTTAAATGAAGCACTTTCGTGAGGATAGTGGAAATAACATTTCACATAATCCTGTTTCCAACCTACAATAGTAGTTTCCATTTTTAATGCTATAGTTATATGTAGTAACAGAATTATAATATACCACTACCAGGTAAAATAGAGTAATATTCTTTTTGTTCGTTCGTTCGTTCGTTTGTTTTTTATTTAATAGACGTAGTGACAAAACTAAATAAACCGTCTATTTATCCTACAGAGAACCAGACAGATTAATGACGTCAGTTGGTATATACCAATTATCGCACATATTTGAAAAAAAGAAAATAATGATATTTAACTGTGTTATCAGTAGACGAATGTATAAGATATTCGAGTACTTTACTTCTTTAGTACATCTACTGATTTTATGAAGGGACAACACTAACGCTCGTCATTGTTACATCTTATCTGAAATGTTATTTTTGGGTATCGACACTGGATGTATATGTCTTTGATGGGATTAACTAATACGCGTATTAGGAAAAACTAAACATTTTGTGGTTATACACCTTTTTCTTTATGCTTAAGACCATTTCACTTAAAATTCTGGAAAATAAAATAATTTATGAAATATTGCATATACTCGAAACCGTGAAGGACGTGAAGAATTGATAAATGAACACGAAATGAATGAATGCTCCTTCCAACAAATCTCTGTATCTCAGAGGTACAAAGTGTATCCGTAAGAATGAAAAACTTCCTTCGACTGGAAAATTTTCACAAGTGTCAAAAAAGTCTCACGAGTGTCAAAATATTTTCTTCGGGAGTTATTTTTCAGCAAAACTTCTATTTTGCTCAAATGATGTTCATATTTCTGCATATTATTATGCGAGTAGAAAAAGCGATTAGTATTGTTTCTGCGAGCCGATGTATAATTGTAGGAAGAATAGTAGTGATGGTATTTAAATTAAAAGATTTTTTAATTGGCTTTAGACTTGAAAGGACATTATCGACTTCATAACGTTCGACAGCATTTAGAACGAAAGAATCAATCAATCAATTTATTTTAGTCCATGATGTTAATAAAATGACAGGGTAATGACAAAAGTTCAACAAGGAACTTGTCCGGGTTTTTATGTTGCAACGTAAAAATACTCATCCTTTGTTCATGAATTAGTGATTACGCCTTCAAGTATGAATTTGAAGTGGTGAATGAGTCATCATATTTATTCTTTTTTTTTCACACGTGACTTCATTCGTAAAGAGATGGAGCTTCGTAGTTAAAAGAAATGTTGCTATAAGTTATTTCAAATTATATAATTTATAATGATTCAACAGAAAATTTGGTTACAAAACTGGTTTATGCTCAAACAAAAGTGATAGCTATGGTAATAACACTCTTTAAACTAACTACAACTACATTAATGTTGTTTTCCTTAATTTATTATACATTGTTGGATAGAGCTCGTCGAGCTGATTAAGAAAATGTATTTTTTAATTTTTCAAAATATTTTTTTCATGTCGAAAACTCGAAAATACTTGAAGGATGTAAAAACTCGAACAATCCTTCAAGTTCAAAAGACTTTAATATCTCGACTCTAAGATTGCTTTGAAGCCTTCAAACAATTTTTGTCGGATTCAGCCTTAAAAACTGAATAGAAAAATAGTGTTTGATCAATTTCGAACTTAAAAGCCTGTCGAGCATGGGCGTCCCAAACCGGTCCTCTAAAGTATGGACATACAATTTTGTAAACCTACCCTATCTAGTTTTTTTGTGTTAATAGTTGAAGCCGATATGTGCAGGTCATTAGATTTGCTGAAAGGTCAGCTTTAAAAGTACGCTTCGCTTTTTTCAAACTTTGTTTTGTTGCTGAAAAAGAGTACATTTTTTCTAGATTAGAGGCGGAAATGTCGGAATTCTGCTCGTAATTCTCAAGTTCTCTATCAGAACTCAACTCTTATGCAATAAAATATCATATTTGAATCACGATCAAAAGCTGAGTCGACTAATGGGGACTTTGAAAGTTTTAGTTGATTTTCTGTTTTGAGTGAAAATCTCGGTAGTTTCTGGAAGTGAAAGTTCTTGATGTATTCAGATAGAATAAAAATGTACACTAATCGGCTCAGGTTTTGATCGTGATTTCGAATATGATATTTTATTGCATAAAAGTTGAGTTCTGACAGAGAATAAAATTGAGGACACACTTTAGAGGACCGGTTTGGGATGTCCATGCTCGACAGGCTTTTAACGTCGAAATTGATCAAACACTATTTTTCTATTCAGTTTTTAATGCTGATACCCTCACTAAACGATAATAGAAATAATTAGCAAAATTTGACGACGGAAAAGAATGCAGAAAATTTCTTGGAAATTATTAAATTGTTTTCACGTGAAAGAAAGTCTACTTTTTTATCTTTTCGATAGAAAAGAAACCTTTGACGACACTAATCTGTTCAGTCAGCCAAGAAATGAGTATTTCTGAAGAGAATGGGGGAAAGGAAAAAAGACACTTTAGAGGTCTTCGGCGAAAAGGCGTTTCCAATAAAGATTGGAAAAGAGAATGCAGAAGATCGTAGGCTAAAACGAAGAGAAATGAGTAGTTTAAGTAAGTGATCTAGGAACAATGTCTTCGAATGTTTTTTTGTGAGTTTTGCTTTCCAAGAACTGCTTATTGTACCAAATGTAAGTTTAAACATTTAAGAATCTGGCATAGTTTACTTTAAGAGATCTGAACTTCAGAATACGTGATATGTTCTATCTACTAGAACTAGAAATTAATTTTAAATTTTAAAATTTTTAGAAGCTTTTTACAAATTCTGTATGGTTTTTAACTTAAAAAATTCATAACTCTGATCGGGTTTATTTTTAGAATTGAAAATTTTAAGAATATGCGTAACTTGATGTGCTCCCAAAAACGGCAAAATATGAGTAAATGTTTTAGAACGAAAATCCAAGCTTTAAATCGTAAACTTGAGTACGAGTCAGTTGATGGACAGTTTCACGTAGTTGAGCGCAATCGTATTCAGCGATTAAAACTCTGCATTCGTTTTTTTTTGCAAATAATAACAAATTTTTCGCATGCGAAGTATCCGTCGAAAATCTTTCACGAACGTCAGCTATGTTATGACGAGTTTTATGAATATTTAATTGGTTTACTTGAGAAAAATGTTGTCAACACAACCATATGAGCTAAACGGGTGAAAACTTCAACTGTGACGATGGAATTTATATTTACATCAGCCTTTAATCCTTATTCCTTGGTTTTTGTGTGCGTCAGCAAAACAGAAAAAACAAACAAAATACAAAAAATACTTCTTATATTCAGTGAAAATAAAATTTTTCAAAAAAACGCAGTAGCCGAGAGTACCGAAAAGAATTTTTGCTCAAATCTTCTAGAATGCAGGTTACTCGAGATCTTAAATCTTCTTTCTTTTTCTGAAACTCGTCTGTGGGTCTCAACCTTTATTTACTTTTATCCAGAAGATCGTCTGAGAAGTTTTCATAAAAGGTGATGTCTCTTGACTAAAAGTGTCATAAACAAATTTATTTCACTACTGGTGCGCTTCTATCGTTTGTTACTGTTTTTCTTAGTTGAAATCCTTGTCGAATATCACCTAATAATGCTGATCGATCACCTTCACCACTAGCACCTAATTCTGGTATAGCCATTGGTGGTAAAGGTGGTGATGGCGGATTTTTTGCGAGTGGTGGTGGTCGATTGGGTAATTGCGACATATTTATTTGTTCGATAGCCGTTGATTTTGGCTGCTGACTGTAGTTTAAATTAATCAGAGATGTTGTTGCTATCGATTTTGATCTTCTAACGGGTAATGTTGCTGAACTTCTTTTCAAACTTCCACTTGATCTTTTGCTCGATACGGACATTGTTGTTGTCTGAGTTGACGTCGGTTTTGTCAATAATGTTTTTTTTTGTTGTTTTGTGTGATCTAAGATGGATTTTATATCCTGAGAATATTCAACAAGAATAGGTTGAAAATTTGTTAATTCTTTTAACGGCGGACCAGTTTTAAAGTATGGTAATTGCTGGATATCTCTTAATGTCAGAACAGGCTTAGTTCCATCGAATATTATTGTTAGTAGTTGTCTCACACTATCATCTCGACAATCATGCCAATGTTTGGGTGTCAAAGTACTCGTGTCCAACTCATAACCCGATACCATTTCAAATATAATACGACCAAAACAAATCACTTCACTAATATCGCTTTTTGACATCTCATCCGTATTATTTGGTTGCATATTATAGACAGATCGTTTAACAAATAATGCTATACGTGATCGTTCTTGAAGAAATGAATATTCATAAGAGCCAATTTGTGCACACTGCCCATTTCGAGTGATGACAATATTGCCAGTATGCAAGTCAACGAGAGGAGGAATACCCTTTTCTTTCAAATAGAGTAGACCTTCTAGAATTTGTGTAGAATATAAACGAACACGTTCAAGTGATAAGCCAGAACTACGATAACTGTATTTTCCCTAGAAAAAAGGAAATAAGAAACTGATAGGTGTTGTTGCATTATGATATGATTGACTAATTTATAACAAACATTTTGAATTTTTTTCAAGTTAATTTTAATCAAACCAAAGATGAAACAATTAACCTTTTAATTCTTATAGAATCAAGTCTAATAACTCTACTTTTTTTTATCTGTAGGTATCATGAATTTTACGCCGCCTATTCAAAAATCCCAACACATTTAAATTTAGTTCAGTTTTAATGGAATAGATATGCTCTAGTAATTATCTGATAAGCGATTGTAAAACTAAACTAAATTAAATTGTATTAGGTCAAGTTTCACAATTCATATAGATTTAAATTGAAAGCTGATGGCTTAGAAAACTCAACGATTCTTCTATCCTCATTTTTTCAACAAAAGCTTTTTTACTTACATTAAATTGTGCTGTTGGTACCACACCATGTATTAAATCTTTAAGTGAACCATTTGTTTGATAGTCTTTAATCAGTACAAATAATAGTTGATTTTGAATATAATCGATTCTTTTAATCTGTTCAACATAAGGATGATATAGATAGGAAAATAGTTCATTTAAAATCGAAATGTAAATACTTTCTTCTACAGGAAATTGAAAGATATCATTTTTAGGAAATAGACTTAAAAGAACTGAACCCTGACTACCACTACCCTTTTTGGAATTTAATAGAAACCAATGTTTATCAATTCTATAACCTATCTGTGTTAATTGTGAGTTGAATGTATACTCATTTCCACACCGTACATAAAAGTGACATGTTAATAGAGCTGAACGTTGACTATCAAGTTCTCGTTGACGTTTTGGTTGAGCTAAACGTTGTAATAGAGGAGTATCGATATCAACAGCACTATGAAATCGCGTATCACGAGATGATCGTTGACGATATTTTGTACATAAACAACAAATGAGAAAAATAATTCCGACACTAAGCACAATAGCGCAAATAACTAAAAGAGGTATCCATAAAGCATCTTCTTCCATTTTACTCTTACTATGAAATAGAGAGAGAGGGAAAGAGAGAGAGAGTGACTAAAGTTGAGTTGATAACAGAATAATGAATAAACAGACGTTATGTGTTGAAAGAAAGGAATGACAAAGGTTAAAAAATGATGACTAACTATCATGCAAACATACAAAAAATTCATAGTTCAGTTATAAGGTAGTCAATATTTTGTAGAACAATGTCATAATGACAATAGAAGTTAAATGTGCAGAATTTAAGCATATCTACTATAGCAAATTCATAAAATAACAAGAAATTTTATTTCATAATTGTCGTACCCAGATTTTCATTTTTTGCCATCAAAATATTTTTCTCTATGTTAGTTTTCTAATTCTTCTCAATGATACTTTTATCGACATCAATTTGAGTTTAGACTATATGTTGCGAAAACTATTTTTATGGATATCCCTAGTGAATGTACTTGAGGTCACGTACTTAGCTACTTGCAAATTTTCTAAAGTACTTGGTTAAACACTTGTCCAGCATTTTTAGATTTAATACTAGGACTGTAAAAGTTCCCGTTACGTTGATTTAACGCTAACTATTCTTTTCGTTACCGTTATAACAGTAACTGTTTTTTTCTAGTTACCGTTGTCTATAACGCCCGAAGAAGTAACGGGAACTTTTATAGCCCTATTTAATACGTGCCAAGTACTTGAAGGAACTTTCGGATACCTGCATATATTTCGCAAGTACTTATCAGGTTACCTGCCAAATACTTGATGAAGTACTTAGCTAGTAGTTATACTTGTTAAGTTACTTGATAAGTACCTTTTTTACTTGCAGAAAACTCCAGGTACTCCGAACATTACTTATCCAAATACTTTTCGAAGTGCTTGATCTCAAGTACATTTCCTTGGGATAGCTTCCCTTACACTGCGGATATGGAGAGAATAGTAATACGACTTGTAGCAATGCCATACTAATAGTAGTAAGAAGAAATTATAAAAAGATCTAAAATAGTTTTTCAAAACAGCTATTGTATTAATATCACTTTAATGTGATTTTACTCATCAATAAGTTTCTGTCTGATTATAGATGTTTTGAATTGAAAACAAGTACCACACAAAATTTGTATATTTTTTTACAAAATTTTCTGTCTCCAAGTCTAAGTCGATATAACTATTGTCTAGTTTATTGAACTACAATTGATCGTAACATATTTATTTAATTCGAAGTGCATCATTAAAATTAAATCAGCAGTTGCAACAAAATACGGTTAAATATCATGAAAGGCGCGATCGGATAAATGTTCGGTAGTTAAATTTCAGTTTAGCTTTTGTTAAATCATAAGAAAAAAAGTCTGATTTTAGCATATAAACTTTTGTTGTCTTCTTATAATTTAAATTTTAAATGAATCTATCATCAGCTGCCATCACCCAAGTGCAACGGTTATATGATCCACAAGCTACAATCTTTACCACTCCTGTTCGATCGCAATATAAAACCATCGTACTTGCTGCTGTCGCAGTTATCGCTTATCTAGCGTTATTTGGCGGCATCTGTATGGTATGTCGAGTTACGGCATCATCGTGGTTAGACTCTTATTCACAAAAAATACAACGTGCTCGCTTCTTGAAGGATGAAGCTCGAGACTACGTTGATATGGTTTATACAGTCGCACGTTAAAAAGTAAACTGTAATTTATTAATATTTTAACCTTTATTACGAGCTATACTTAAACCTGACTAGAGAGCACAACATTCATCTTTATTAAATAATGCAAATACCATCTAATGCTGTTTGTACTAGTTTTTTACTAGATTTGACAGCCTATGTAAGAGTTATATTATCGGATCAATTTTCATAATAACGTGAAATATCTACACTACTCAAAATACAGCCTTAAATGTTATCTCAGAGAACATTTAGTGATAAAATATCATATTTTGCTTTACTGCATAAATAATCATTGGCACGCGACTCAATTTTCACGTGTAGGATAATTGATTTCAATAGTTACTGGGAACTGTATTGTTAAGATGACGACCGATACATGAGATATCACTGGAACTTTGATGGAGTTCGAAGTGGATGAGACGACGTGTTGCTTGCCTATCTGTTTTAAGGCGACCTATGACCCCCGAATTTGCTATAGAATAAAGAACATATTGTTCTTCAGCAGTCAACAGATATTTGAGTTGAAATAATCTGAATTTATATCTAAAAGGTAGTCTGTCAACAAAGTAGCGCTCTTTTGATTGCAATATCGATTAAAAAATCAAGAAATTGTTATTGTAATTTATGTTTGCACGGTCAAGTAGCTGCATCCCGCAGAAAAGCAAAATAATTTCATTGTTCTTTACCTCCTACGGAGAAATTTTTCGAATAAAACCGCGGTTAACCCCGGGTTTTTTTGTCTCATCGCGGTTCCTCTGTAGCAAACCGCGATGTAATTCCGAAAAACGCGGTTAACCGCGGTTTGACTCACCTCGGTAAGGACAAACCGCGATTTCTCTGATCCAAACTGCGGTTTGAAAAGCCGATGCCGATGAAAACCACGGTTTTGAGAAGCCGCGTTTTGATCGAATCAAGTTGCGGTGGTGCCACCGGCAAAAACCGCGGTTTCAAAGGGATGCAGTTTAGTGAGAATGAACCGCGGTATATGAAACGGCGCTTTCTTACGATTTTATATACCTCGGTAAACTCGATCTAAACGACGGTCTGTGAATACCGCTCAGCGTGGCGGTTTCTTAAACCACGATGTTTACAATTTAAACTTCGGTTTACCTTCACCACGCTTTTTAATGATTTCGAGACCGCGGTTTCTGTCAATAAAACTGCGGTTGGATGATGCGCGTTCTCCACCCGACTGGACAGTGCGGTTCGTATCAGCAAACAAAAATACTAGAATCGCTTTTTTATCTGTTTTTTGTCGCCACGAAGATGTCGTATCAGGTGTGTCGCCAGAGATCCCGATCTTCTGATTTTGACTTCTAATTTTTAAACTTTTTCTTCCTAATTTCTGCTCTTTTTTCCTCAAAGGTCTATTGATTTTTCGATTTTGAACTTCTTTTCTCTGAGGTCTCTCAGATTTTCTTGCTTTGGATCTGATATCCCTGGTCATCTCCCACATGTTTCTTACTTAAAACACTTAGATCGGTAAGATGTAACATCAGTTTTGATCATTGTATAAACAACCCGAAATGGCTCAATGGAAACATGTTGGACAAGCAAATCAAAGGTAAGGAGTTCGAATCTCACACAACGCATATGAAAGATTGGTGGTTTCAGGTAGGCTAACCGCAGTGTAATAGCAGCAACACTCGCGGTGTATGGATGCAGTGGTAAGAACAGGGGCAACCGCGGTCAGAGCTATAGAAACAAATGTAGAATGAAGAAAGAGAGAAGGACGGAAAACGAACAGATATCGACGATAACATCAAGAAAATCGTTTTGTAAAAAAACCGCTTGAAACCGCGATGTAAAAAAAAACAACTTAATAAACGGTCTGACTCCCGCGGTGTATTTAAGCTATTGTTTGAATAACTCTAGAATGAAGAGAGATAGAGACCTGTAGTTTTCAGCACGTTGTAGAGGAGGCTTTACTGCATTTTTTGATATATGGGAGCTTTTATGAATCGGATTTCCAGGCGGTATGCCTGACATGTGAAAAAAGAAGAGTTTGCCAGGCACCGAAGGCAAAATAATTTTTTCACTCAAAGTATACGGTTGAATAAAGTGTCCTCTACAAAACTACGCAACTTCGAGGTTGCTAGCTACCAGCTCGCCTGATCCACGCCGATTTTGCTGGGACCTATCTATCTCAGTCCGATTAGGTCTGACAACCTTAGAACCACCTGCAGACATAGGTTATTGACTACGCTAAATCTCATGGCAATGTTAGTTTTCAAAATAAAATAGAAGAACCCAGTGAAACCTATACTAAGTGAAACAATCCATTTTTGACTATTTTCATAAAAAATGAAAAAAATTCATAACTCGGTCAAAAACCATCCAGACTACTTCAGAATATCAACATATAGGAATTTATGGTAATAGGATCTGAATCTCAGTCATGAGAGGGCACTGTCACGGTTATTGCTTAACTTATTTGACTAAGATTATTTTTGTAGATGCATATAATTTACACAGAATCCTCTATGTTCTGCATAAAACAACATATATTCAAAGGTCAGCTGTCACTCGCATATTGAAAAATGACACTCATTTATCTTGATCCGCTTTCAATTATGCATACTCTGAATGGGATATAAGACTATACTGAGAGTCTATCCCATCTCTACTAATCCTACAGCCAGTCATATGTTTCTGGCACCCTTCGTACCAGAGGAAAATTTTTACATTTAAGTACCAAAAACATCATTCACATTTTCGATTGTAGTAGAAAAAATACACTTTTTGGTTCAATATTACAACTAATTATTCGACATTTACTCATATTTAAACGAAGAAACGTAGATTGAATGAAACTTTTGTATGAACTATATTCACCAAGAATAGTGATGTGATAGAACTACTTTTAACTTTATTTCACTAGCTAGGTCCGTAATGCCTCTGGTTATGCTGAGTTAAGTTGTAAAAAATTTTAAGAAGGAATACAATTCTGCAGTAAAGGCTTTTTAGCAAAGATCATTTGTTGATGAAGTATAAAACTGTATCGCGGTAGCTCGTGTTAGTTTGTTGCCAGCGTGTGACGTATCGTGATGGGCGTCTCTTGGATAAATCTTGAATGAAATGATGCTCTCGATACATTAAAAATTTTAGTTGCTTTCTGCTGAGTGCTCGAAAAATTCTCGTATTGGTGTCAGCGCTTGTGAGATGAACATGACAGAAAGCGTTTTGTACTCATGTCTACTGTTTTAAATTTATTAGTGAACGCTATTTCAGCATTCGTTGTGTTCCACCATTGATGAATTAACCGATGTAGTTGACGATTTCTTGCTTCTAATTGCGGCAGGAATTGCGGTAGATCTGCGTGGTATAATAAGAAAATAACTGATCTGAGGCAGCTACTCTGAGGCACGCCCCTTTCAATAGTGAATACACCAGAAATATTGTTAACCATTCGCGAAGATCTTTCGTTCACGTACATTTTTATCCATTTCAGTAGCTGTCGATGGCAATTCAATTAAGCTAGTTTGTAGGCCAAACCGTCGTGCTAGATCTGATTGGAACTTTTACGAACTCGACGTACGTGACAAATGTCGCTGTATGTTGCTCTAATGAGCTTGTGCAGTCGTCTAGAAACTAACGAACCTTGTTGTAGTTGAATGCGTCTGTCTGCAGCCAGACTATTCATCCGGTAGTGTGTTGTTATCGGCCATCCGTTTTTTTAAGTGAATAAGCATGCATTTTTCGAATGTTTTACCTGAACGGGATAACAATGGAATTGATCTGATACTGTCAGTGATGCTCATAGTTGTTTTCTCTTTCGGCAGCAATAGAATTGTTGCCGTTTTCCAGTGAAATAGATACGTGTTTGTAGACAAGAGTATATTAAAAAAGTAACAAGAATAAACGAATAGGGAGAGCACGGGATCAGTTTTATGATTTTGATATAAGCTTTATTCTGTCAGAATACAAGCGGAAAATATTTCATTATAGTATTCTAAACTAAAACTATCGAAAAACACAAAATCAATTTTGTACGAATAGAGATTCGAACATATGAACTTAGCTTTGTAGTAAACTACTACAAAACTAAATTCACTGTTCTGTATCTATCTATATTCTGTACAACGATTGAAGTTGTGTAATCGACTCGATGTTATCAGTAGTAATTTTTTTGGTATGTTTTCTTTGATGTTCGTACTACATTCGTAGTATGAACGTTTGCATACACAACGACGTTTTCTGCGTCGTCAATAGGGTCTTACGATAAAATTTGTCTATACATCATGCTCAACAAGTATTGACGGTATAGCAAACATTCACCGCATATATAATATTAAACGTCTTTTCTCTTATGAAATTTATTCAGAAATAAAAAAATTTTATGTTTTTTGGAAGGAAAAAAAATCTGAAATATTAATCTGAATCAGTCGGTCACCTACAGAGATTATTTATACTATATGTAAGAAAGAAAAGAACTAACTTTTCTCCTTTCTGCTTCAATTGTAGAATCAACAGAATAACTCTTAGAATTTTATGGAGTGGGTTAGTTCCTGTTTCTTTATTGTATGTAAATTTTTGAGTAGACGGGAGAATGACATTACTTGTACAGTTATTTGTGCTATATGATTCAACAGCTGCTTAATCATCTGAATGCTACCATAAAGAATAAATAGAAGAAAAAAAGTGTTAGGTCGAACACAACTCTTTATAAAATGTACGAAAGAGGGAGAAAAAGACGTGAAACTATATCATTATTGCGAAACTAAGTAAAATGAAGTTTATCATTGCGACTGAAATTATTTTATTAACAATTTATTCATTTGGTAAGCGGTTGTGAATCTTAATTATTAAATGTTTTTCGTTCAAACGACTAACTTACACCTGTGCTTTAAGAATAAAAGAAACTTGCCATCGTACAGAAGTTATAAGACTGACTTATTATTCTAGTTGACGGACTTGCCTTAAAAAGACCACGTCGTCAAAATTCTTTGCCTTACGGTGGTTGGGCTAATTCAAACAATAATCCAAGTGGAGCCATACCAGGTTCCTACTATGGAACAGGAAATAATCCAAATCTAGGTGGTTATTCAAATTCTGATCGATTTCAAAGCGACATCAATTATTCACCGTATGGTTCTCAACCAAATCTCAACTCATTGCCATACTACAATGGAAACCAAAATCAAAATGCTCAAGGTGGTCAAGTTTATTTTGGTTCTAACAATATGTATAATGGCCTTAATAGACCTAACAGATATGCACCCGGTAGTCAGGGATGGTATGCAACAGGTGGAAATTATAACAACAAGAATATATCGTTGACATGTAACTATCTCCTAATGATGTTGGCATTCATTTTCGTATTATAGACTGCTGTCATTCTGTTATTTTTAGTAAAATCTTTTTGTAACACTTGATTAAATTAGACATTAAATTACATCAACGATAGCCTTATTCACTAAAAATCCAACAAAAAAGTTGTCCTGTCGCATGTGGGAATTTGTAAAGCTCAACAACAAGAAACTGATTTTCACGGTCTGCTCCATTTATTTGTTGAATTTTTCTACTTTCACTCACACTTACTCTTACTGCTAATCTATAGCTCAAATCTACTTTTACGTTCAAAACTCCTATACATGGTGAACACTCGCACAACTGTTTACATTAATGTACGTTGTTTTCCGGCTCTATTGTCATCTAAAGTTCTTAAGCTTTATGCAAAAATATCGATTGTACGGTTATTTACTTTTTACGCGCAGTCATAGCTGCTTGTACAAACAAGCGTCCTAGAATGATCAATTAACTTGCAAATTGTCAAACCTATGCATTTTCATATAAATAATTAGACTTTGTCACTTCACTAATGTCTGACAATTAAAAAGTGTTATTTTGTGTTATGAGATTTCTTTCTATCGGTATCTATTCTCATGTAATCAATGGTAGCTACACTGTAAATCTATTTCTCGTCTAAATTCTGTCCATCAGTCGAACTCTCTATCCAATTTCGATTATCTTCTGTTAGATGTACGTCAAAATAAGCTAAACACATTCCAGTTTCATATGATGTCAAACTTTTATTCAATACTTGTAATAAGATTTTGCCTGATGAACAAATTGACATGACATAATTATACATAATTATGAAACGGTACCGTTCGAACAATATCATACTTACTGCTTATCGATCGTAAAAGATTGTGTAGCAAATGTATAACTTATTTTTACCACAGTAATAACTATGTACACACTTTTCAGGCTATCATCGATTCAAATTGCACTCGTGTTAATAACGGCATATGTTGTTTGTGTTTTATCTAGCATACTTTCACATAATAATTCTGTTAGTTTTGTTTTATGAAATCGTATATTGGCTGATAATCCATCTAATTTGATATTATATCGGGCAGATTAACAACGATATTTGACGGTTTAAATCCTCTTTTCTCAAAGGATTTCATTTCAGTTTGATACCAATACTTAGCCAAATATAAGTTTTATTATTATCTGGAATGAACAATGTCACTGGTATCAGTTAACTATAGACTTTGAATTGTTTAGTTTTTAGATTATAAACACATCGATGAACGTAAACGGTCACTTGATTATTACCCGCTTTTGCTATTGGAATGTGCCGGTTGCCGCACCCAAAGTAACTATTCGAATGTTGATGACTAAATTAATCTCAGGAATATTTTCAGCTAATGATAAGTCTATTGCAAGATCTAAAACAGAAAGAAAGAGAAAATACACTTCGCTTATACCAGTTACAATCACATTTTTAACAAACCCGAATGTGTTCACCGAATTGCTGAACCAAATGTATGCTGAGATTTAACATCATAAACATTTGTCAAAATCCACTCAAAATATTGATTCGGATATCCGTTGTAAAAGATCATCGTTTTCCAAAACAAATTCATGATTGCGAAACATAACAGAATCAAGACTTCGCTCATGTAAGACCGATATCATATGACAACATATACCACATTAAAAACATTTTACATACATTAAATACTATTTTTATTTTTTTACTGTAGAATCCATATTATTTTAAAGATTATCTTGTAGTTCTTTTCCATTACAATTGCTTTGTTTAATCCCGATAATTATAGTAAACGTCCGACCAAAACTGTGTATGTATGTGGATATTGTTTTTGTAATTATTTTCGTATGATGGACTCAAGTGCTAAACCGCCTAATTGGCAGTCTTTCAATAGCAATGTTTCATAAACATCGCGTTCATTTGTAGAAACATCCATTCGACGTGATATTGAGAATGTGGTTTACAAGAAACAGGCAATTATGTCAGATAAATTTCGATGGCAATCAACGGTGCTTGAATAAATAAGTAGAAAAATTGGAGAAACATGTTACTATACATAACACAAAATGAGAATGTGACGAATTCTGTTTAGTTATTTCTCATGCGGGCACATTCCTGTATAGCTTATTCTTTTCTATTTCTCTCAGAGTAGAGTAGCGTTTGAAAAAAATTTCGATTTCAAACCGTCTATAGAACCGACGATGTTTGACATGTTTCATGTTTCTCTCCTTCATTTTTTGTCACTTACATTACAGACAAAAAAGTCGACACTTTCTAACAGACGATGTGAATATGCTGCTGAAATTTTATTCTCTGTAATATTCACTCGAGGGTGAATGTTTCTGTCATTGAATGTATTTACTATTAACAGTTGAATACATCGGTTTTCTTGTACGCCAACTAATGTCTTATCATTAGCAAACTAAACTATACAGTAAGTGACGAATGTAAGGAATTGTCATTGGTCAGACAATATTAGATTCTCAAATCAACTGTAATCGAAATTTAAATTAAATTTCTTTCGAATATCTACGAATGATAAACATATGAGAGTATAACTAGATCACATAAAAGTGCGTTGAACTTTTATATAGGCCTGCATCACGTCGACATATTCATGGTCCAAACAGACATGAACAAAACTTTTTACAGAATTTTGATTCTAATCAAACTGATCAATCAAAATTAGTTAATTCGTGAATGTATTGTATCATAAAATAGCAAAAACTGACTTGAAGCATCTCCACTTCTTCCTTCGATCCTACTCAAAACCTGATAGCATTCTATAAACAAGTATAGATATCGTCAATATATGAAAGGTTGTCCACGGATATAAACAAAAAACATCTATTAATACTGACCTCTATTTTCATTATCTATAACTATGCAGAAAAAAACGAAAAATCTCTGGAAAAAGCAATTTTCGCTTCTCTCCCTTTTTCGTGAGTCAGAACTATCGTGCAAATATCTTGGCGTTTTCCTTTTGATAAATAACACCTATTATCTGTGTTTTTCATCTGACGATCGTAATTATGATAATTATTTTACTAAAAATGTATTCAGAAGTAAACAGAATGCATTAGATAATCCATGAATCCAAGCACGTTCTCTTTCACGTGATTTTCCATAAACGTTTTTAAATGCGCTCATACAGACAGATACGTCAGACTCAAACACATAAACACTCCACCATCTTACAAAAAAATTGCTTAAATGTATTTTTTATTTTAATTTTAAAAAGCGCAGTTCCACAAACACAAACTTTGAGAAGGATTACTCTATTATCTTCACTTTTAGTATCGGATTTTTGTGGTACTCAAATTATTGATAAATAATTCTATGGAAATTGTCTGCAGTAACCAATCGTTTTATTTTATTTCATCGCTATATGTTATATTTTTTTTTTGTATCACTTCGAGACAGAGAGGTCAAGATGTTGCCAAAAAGCAAAACTCAACACTATTCAAATAACAAAAAACACGAAAACATAGACCTAAATTTTAAAAATTAATATCACTGTTCGTGTAGTAATTAAAGTATGAGAGTTGCTTGTCGAGTAAACAATGACTTTTTTAAATGTGTCAAGAAAATCTCTCAGCACAATGCTCTTGTTCGTTAAATCTTCGTTCTCAATAGATGACTAACAATGTTCTCTTTCTACATGAAATAAAAAATGAACCTTACTTAGTCTTGTTGACATATTGCCTAGATTTTACTTGAATCATTTTCAGAAACATCGACCATCTTTTTGTTTTATGCGTTCAGCAACTCGACATCAAAACTAGTATATCTATACTAGTTTTATTTCAATATTTGCATTTTTTTTTCCATTTTTTGCTCTTAACATTACCCTTTTTATTATGTTTTTCTTTTCTTTTCTCTAACAGCATGTGTGAACAACGGTACATACATTATGCATATATACTCGAAAATAGAGTCATTAATTGAGAGATTGAATAGCAAAAGTAAAGAAGAAAATAAACAAATATATAAAAAAGATGGAGAGAAAGAATCCAATATTAAGAGATAAAATGTGTTTTTTATAGGATAATTTGATCGTAGTAATCATCATGATTATTGAATTATTATCCTTTTACAATAAGAATAAGTAAGAAAAACAAATTCTCTCTTATATCAAGGAATGTTTTTGTTTGTCAGAATTGTATAGGAAGAATAATTATGATCTCCACAGGTTTTACGATACATTAAATATTCTAATTTTTCAAAAGGCTAATTTTTAATAAAATTTTATATTGTGTAGCTAAAGCAGAACATTCGTTATACGATACTACAATTCGATTCTCGGTAAAGTTCATTTTTGACACAATCAATTTGATAAACATTTCATAATATTACTCTTTAGTAAAAATTACTCATGTATTGCAAATATATAATCTTTATTTCAGATATGGATAACGATACAAATATGAAACGTCGACATATTCAAAAAGATGAGCAAATTTGTGAAGTTAAATCTGTAACATTATTAAAGGCAATTGATCAATTTGAATATTATTTATCTCAGTTATCATCGAATGATTTGAAAGAATACGAACAACATGTTCGGTCGAAATTAGACAGAGATGAATTGAAAGGTCATACATCATCAGTATCAACATCATTTTTAAAATTAAATTTTGATCGATTTGTTTTACTTGGAATTTTACTCATATTTCAGTCATTTTCATCATTTATTTTGAGTTCATTTTCCGATCTCATTTCAAATCATATACAAATCACAATGTATCTGACTATGCTCGTTGGTAGTGGTGGTAATGCAGGTATAAACTCTTAATCTTGTAATTTCAACTAAGAGAATTTTTGTTATGAGACCTTTTCTGTTTTAATTATGGTAGGAAATCAAGCAGCAGTGTTAATGATTCGACAATTATCTATTGGAAAGCGATATAAACTGTCAACATTGTTATTTAATGAAACATTATCAGCTTTATTTATTGGTACACTGATAACAATTGTGGGTTTTATTCGTGTTTTAATCGAAGAAAATGGCGAACTGCGAACATCATTGACAATTTCTCTAGCTTTATTTTTAATAGTTACCATTTCTGTTGTTCTTGGAACCAGTTTACCATTGATATTACATCAGATATTTGGTTTAGACCCGGCACATGCTGGACCCACAATTCAAGTATGCATGGACATTATTGGCGTTTGTATTACGTGTGCTATTGGACAATGGATGTTAAATTAACAGAGTTTTTCTCATATGACTGTAATGAGTTTTTGAGAAGGGCAAAATTAGGTCTGAAGGTAGTATGTTTTTAATCACATCCATAAAAACAATCAATGCGTAGCAAAATATTTATTTTTCTCTAGGGTTGACCAAAATAATATAGACACTATTTTTTGCAAGAAAATCAAGATTTAACTTTTTTCTGACTTAATTTTATGCTTCTCGAGAATTCATTTTGACTAAATGTCATAGAGTATGAAATGAATAATAATCTCATTATCTGAATTGTTTAGAAGCCTTTTGTTATTCGAACAGGAAAGTCAGTCGTGCGTTCACACGCCCATTATCTATAAAAATCTTGTTAAATATGTCATAAGTAAATAAATCTTTTTCCAGTTACGTTGCAACATCTATGCTACTCGAGTGATAAATTCAAATACATTTATCATACTGATATCTCTCTTGTGTTTCAATGACTGTCTGAACTCTTGTTGTAGAAGAAACGAAGATAACAGAAACTTCTACATATTTGCTTTCATAAAATTTAACATTACTTTAGACTATCATATAGCTCGACTACTAGCGTTTTATCGAATGTCCTAATTATTTGTCTTGTGTGTGTACGTTCATGTTTTTCAGCGTTTGACGTCCGTATAGAAAGGCTAAGGAGTGCACTGGTTGTGTCACTTTTTTCTATACGTTTCTATGCAAAGAGTGCGTTCGCATAATAATGTATCGAACTATGGTGTGTTCGTGTGCGCAGTGATGAATAAGTAAATGCTATATAAGAGAAAGACTTTTTCTGTTTCTTTTGTTTTGAGTTCTTATTTATAATAGAATAAGCATCAGCAGTTTCTGTAGCAGAAACTAATACTTGTATTTACTACACGTAAAAAGCGAATGGCACTTCGTCTGTTACACATTGTATTCTATCTTAGATATATTTAAACTATTTTAAATTAAAAAATGTCGAAATCCGATGAGGATATTCTTTACTCTACTCTTCAAAAATCATCTTTTAAAGGTACAAATAATTACGAATTCTGTTGTTGAGAAAATGTCTATTTTCCTTTTTTTCAAGATTCAATGTTGGAAAAAGATGAACAAAACAAATTAGAAATCGACGCAGCTGAAGAAACTCGTAAACAATTTGAGGAAGATCTGCAAGATTCAAAACAACAACAATCAACTAGTGGATCAAGTACATCAACATCATCACACGGAAAATCTTTGCCTGATTTGGTGAAAGGTCTTAGCAGTGATAAGCGTAACGAACTAATGTTGAAACTAAAAGAACAACTCGGTGGAAATATAACCGAGGAGAAATTAATTCAGAATGCGTTTTCAGTTAAACATACAATTACAGAATTTATGAACAAAAAATAATGATATTTATTTACAATAAAATTTTACTCCATTTTTGCAAGATGAGAATAATGCTTAGTAAAGGATAATAAATTAATGAGGAATGGATAGGAATTAATCGTAATGTAGTTCCGATTTCGCCCGAAAAAACAGTATATATCGGATGTTTCATTTCATTATTTTTATTTGATTTCAAGGCACATTTTTCTCTGCTTGTCATACATGTCATATCAGGATTATGGGATGTATATCAATAAATACGGATGCATGGGCCACTCAGATTTCGAGTCTCTTTCGCTTTTAATTATGAGTCAATAACACCCAATTTATTATTCTCAACAGCACTATTTTACACGTTCCTACTAAGTGCTAAACTGTATTACTCATTTGTCTATAATAATCTCATAGTTTGTTTATCCGATTAAACATGTTTACTTGACAATCATTTAAAATTTGCTGTTTTTTTTAACAAAACAGTTGAAATATTTTGTTTTGCAAATTTGAATTTAGTCACCATACAGCTTATTACCATGTCTTTAATGCATTGTACAAGTAAACCACATTATTTATTCCGATGTTTTTATTTTGTCACTTCGCAGTATGTTTGTCAACTTTCTCACTCATCTTTCTCAGTGTCTAAGCATCGCATTTTTGCAGTCTCAAAACGAACTTCTGTAATTAGTGCTAAACATGAATCTCTCATTGCTGGAGTTATTAGGCGTCTTTCGCCTGTTGATGTTAAGTTTTAAAAGCTGGATGAATTTTAAAACAACCTTATTATTTTATTCACGAGATGATTGTTCTGATGTGCTGACTCATGATTTATACGGAACAGTTTATACATGCACTACCTAGTTGCGAGAAAGTAACAGTTTCGTAAGGATTGAAATATAGACTAAGTGAAACCACAGTTAAAGAGGGCAAGAGCGGGAGAGAACGGTAAAACATAAAGCAAACTCTGCACGGTTTGGATGACTTTAAATCGCTTACCGATGCATACTTGTTTTTCCCGCTTAAATACACCTGCTTTCGGTCTTTAACTTATATTCTATTCACCGAACTTCCATTAAATGTCTCCTGCAAAGTGACTGAGACCTGGAGTTTTATAAAAAAATTTTGATGACAAGAATTTCATTACAAATTTTAATGAAGCTCCTTTACTGTATATAGTAACGAATGTGAAGATATCATATCATAGGTTTCATCGATGACGTGACATATTGCATGCACTGATCAGCAGCTGATATGATTAATAGTCACATTATAATTAATGTGCGAAGCAATACCTCATTATAGTAATAAACTGAGTTTTTCCTTTCTAGAAAAGTGGCATTTTCTGTAACGATTTTCTCGGGAACTAGAAGGGATACAGTAAAATTCTAAACGCGAATAGCGAACTGTGTGTCTGCATTAATAAATAAGCTATAAAGTCAAACATTTTTTATGAGTAATTTTCTGACAGGACAGGTCAAAGCAGGGTAAAAATTTGTTCTGCGATGGTCTCTGTTTCAGACTGTTAAATCATTATTTGGACCTCACATAATTATGCAAATAATCTACACTTTCTTCATCAATATGATACGGCTACTGTATATTATTAACTTCACACTGCATTTGTAACTCTCGCTGAAGTGGTTGTCGTCTAGTTATCTTCTACTATAAACTCTATATATAGTATATTGTATGGTGTATATTCTTGATAAGGCTATTAATTTTTTTTTTGTATAAACTTTATTTATCAATCGAAAAACACACAGGCACAAACACAACCGAGCGTTATAACGTTCATTATAGCATTCACACCTGCAAAACATCAGTTATGAAGGAAAGAGAATAAGAAAAAAATTAATTATATCATAAATAACGTCTTTGAAAATATACTGATCTTTCTGAAATATGATCTTTCGAACGCACTAAGTTCTATGCCTGAACTAGTCTTTCTGAGAAAGAATTGATCTGTTATTCCTAAAAACTAGAAGGCTTTACTATTTCTCGTGCGTTCGAAAGAGGACACGTGAAGGTATTAAATCATTGAAGTATATGACATGCAAGGTCTTTTAGTCTAGTTGGTATAGATATTATTACACTTGTGCAATTTGATGCAACTTTTTATCCTTTCCCAGAATGTTAAATTTTTATGTTTAGTCATTATCTTGGATTATCCTATCTTCATAAATAAGAATCTTACTGTAAGATCTTATATGATCCTACAGTATGATCTTGTATGATCTTGTAATATCAGACAAAAATCGTACAAGATCATATAAAAATCTTTCGGAAAATCATAGAAACGAATTGATCTTATAGAATCTTACAGTAAGGTTCTTACAAGATCTTATAAGATCGTACAGATATCTTACCATACGATCTGGTAAGATCACTGCAGGATTTCATCTGAATTTGTGCTGTTTGCTGCAGCTGCCAGCCGGTTTCCTTTTTCGCTCATTTGGTGTCAAATCCCATTATAGTTTTGCTTTCTACACATCTCTTTATTCACAGATATATCTGTGTGATTGCATCAGGGTTCTCAGATGTCCCGCATTGAGAGGGACAGTTCCCCATTCGATCGTTTTGTCCTCCGGTAAATAAATCTCCCATGGAGGACATATTTCGTTCTCCACTGGCAATTTACTTGAAGTCCTACTACTTCAGCGTCATATTTAAGATGAAAAGATTGGCGGGTTATTACATAATATGCAAAGATTTATGCCCTCTTTAGCATATCTTGTCATAAAGATCATTATCATATAGGTGTTTGGATAGTNGAGTTATTCTGAGATTCGTGAGCCGTCCCCAAAAAACATCACTCTTCCTATCGTGCGGATCTCAGGGTTTATCAGATGTGTGACGTGAATTTGTCGATAAAACCTAATTGAAAGGAAAAATCTATTGTTTGAAATTTGAAAAATTAGCTTTGAAAGAATGAACTGTAAATTAGAACTAAGAAATGACAGTGTAATTCTAACAATAAATGGTTAAAAAATTCACAATATTGATTTTAATTTATTTGTAATATGTGACTTTAGTTAAGCTCATCGGATATTTTAGATTGACATGACGTTATTTCGTTAAAATAAATGTCCCCGATTCGAAAAAATAATTTGAGACTCCTGGATTGCATATACATTTCAGACCGTTTAAAACGGCTAAGTTAACGTCGCGTTAAGTCTACGTTAACGGGCCGTAAACGTACCGTTTTTCCATCGTTATGCACCTTTTTTACACCGTTTTTAAAGAGGGAAATTACTTCGAACTGCAACCTAGTGACGTTTTTTGCTCAAGCACATACCCGAAGAAAGGCATGTCTAATCGATCTCTAGCTTTGTAAAACGCTTTTAGCTCGTTATGCTTGATTCCACCGTGTTTTACTCAGACTTTTCTTCCAGAACATGGTGGAATCAATTTTTAATGTTTTCGTCAACGAGATGATGCTTCCATCACGCCATAACCTCTATCTGAAAAGGAAAAGTCAATATTAATACAAAGTCAGAGAAAGTACACAGCGATTTCGGCTCGCTGTCCTTCTACTATACATGAACACCTCCTAGTCCCTAGTCATGCTGTGGAACTATCTGATTTTCGATAAGCTTTGTAGTTTATTTTTCAGACACATTTACTCAGGTAGTAGAAAATCAGGTAGGAAATCAATCAAATTTGAAAATAAATTTGGGAAGAGATTCACTATGTCAAATAACAAAGCCAATTAAGACGAATTGAAAGTAGAAGGACAGCGAGCCGAAATCGCTGTGTACTTT